GATCATTCTCGTGTAAGTAACGACTTAAAAGACAATCAAATGTTTCATCCAAAGCCGAAACCACAGCTTCGGGGAGCCTATTCCACTGACTTATTGTTCGTGGGAAAAATGACGATTGAAAAACAGATGTGCGGCATTTTCTTCGAGTGGTCTAATCTCTGGGAAGTCAAAGTAGGTGGTTTTAGGTAGATGTTTTTATCAATGCCGGTGCGTTCACGAACCACTTTATTCAGAAAAGAATACCTTGATAACCTCCGGCGAAGTTCGAGCGAGTCCGATGACCATGCATTTTTTTAATGCAGTGACACTGGTATGAAAATGATAAGAGTTTGTAACAAAACGGACAGAGCGATTTTGGATGGCCTCAAGTTTATTAATTAAGGTTTTAGTGTCGGAATCCCATAGTACAGCCGCATATTCTAAGAGGGAACGTACGTTAGAAATGTATAGTGTTTCTTTGACGTCACGAGGTGCGTGCTTAAAGTTTCTCTTTATAAAGTTAATTACCCGTCCTGCTTTCCTCGTTATAAATTCAACATGACTACCTCACGTTGGGTTAGGTGAAAAAATAACGCCCAAATACATCACATCCTTCGCCAAGGCAATCTGATTTGCATCTAGATAGTAATTAGTCTCTATGTTTAGACGCTTTCTGCTAAAGCGGTTACAATTACACTTTGCAAAATTCTGTTTCATTTCCCATTTGTTGCACCATGTGAGTATTTGATCAAGATCAGTTTGTGAAGCGGCAGCATTGTCCTGGTTATTCATATCCCCTGCATAACACACAATCATCTGCATATAATCTTATTTTGGAGGTAGTTCCGAAGCGTATATCCATTATATAGGTTAAAAACAGAAGCGGTCCAAGCACGGATCCTTGGGGAACACCCGACGTTACAGAAAAAAAAAAAAAAGATTCTGAGCCATTAATGACTACTTTTTGGGAGCGACCGGTAAGATAGTCTGCTATCCAAGCAAAGACAGAAACAGGTAAACCTAAAGATGAGAGTTTTAAAAGCAATAGCGAGTGTGGCACGGTATCAAAAGCCTTACTAAAGTCTAACAGTATACAATCAACCTGCTTCCCAGAATGAAAAGAAGGAAACACATCATACGAATATTCGACTAAGTGACGCAAAAGAAGCCTGCCCTAAAGCCTTGTTGAAACTGGACAAAAAAATTATTTGCTTGCAAGTGATGAAATATGTTAGAGTAAATTGTACGTTCAAGAGCCTTGAAACACACGCTGGTTAGTGAAATGGGTCTACAGTTAGAAACGAAAGAACGGAAACCACTCTTATGCACAGGAACGACATTCGCGAATTTCCATTCCTGAGGCAGTTTCTTTGACGACAGGGATAAATTAAACAAAACAACCAGAAACTTGGCAATAATGGGTGCACAGGATTTCGAAACCGAACAAGGTATATGATCTGGCCCAGTGGAGGAGTTAGCTTTTAGTTCAGAAAGAGGCTTGACAACTCCATCATACGATACACTGATATCTGACATAGCCTCAAAACTACAAGGAGCTGGTTCCGAAGGTATGGTTCTTGTAGTAACTGCAAAAACTGACTGAAAGTAATCATTAAATCAGTTCGCTTTGTCGATATCATTAATGACATAACCTTGTTTAGCTAAAATAGGAGGGATAGTACTAACTTCATTGTCATTAGATTTTACAAACTTCCACATCTCCTTTGGACTACGCCTAAGCTTTTCACCTAGGGAGGAATGAAAGTGATCTTTGGCACTTTTTATTTTCAGCTTAATTTCAGGGCTCCAGAATATCCATCCTGTTAAATATTTCATCTGTCCTCTGGCTTAGGTACCTCCGAAAGAGGCGACATCTTCGATTCAGTAAGCGCGTGATCTCGCTAGTAAACCACGGCTTGCTGTGTCCTTTTTTACCCGAAACGATTTTCGATGGTATGTGGCAATCAATAAGCGATAGTAAGTTGTTTTTAAATAGATTCCAAAGATCTTCAACACTGGACGTGGCACTGAATGCCACAATCTCCTCAAATGTATCTTCCAGATTATGCGTAATCAAGCCGTAATTACCTTTATCAAAAATGTACACCCTTCGAGGAGGGGAAAGCACGACCATTGGCATAGCCTCCTTTATACTGGATATTCCTGCCCAATGGTAGCTTTTTCGTCGTCGCGCTTACTTCACAGATTTGCCACAATTGGCGCCAAAACCCCATACAGAAATGCAGACGACGCTTGTCCGCTGCCTGCTGCTACAGTTCACTGTAGCTAGCGTAAGCTACGTTATCCGTTAAGCTATGTGATAACGTAAGTTTTCTGTGTTAAGTTGCGCGGTATCGTGACCTTACGTGATCAAATAGGTCACTTGATCACGTAATTTTTTTTGTGACACGAGTAACTTCTTTCGGTCGTCGTTTGACCGGCAGATAGAGCGCTTAGCAATTGCCGGCATAGCTCAATAGCACGAGGCTGTCTGCGTCTCGTGGCACGCACACCGCGACGCCACACGTACACGCGCGGTCATTTCATTCCATTTATTGATCGTGGGCACATCAGCACTTTGTGCTGCATTCTAACTCCAATGATACCTTACTGTTGCGTGCCTATGTGCAACTCGGACTCGTGAGTTGCACTTCCTATTGGTCATTAAGCAGGCTTTTATGGCTCCTTGGAATTCTCTCCTCAGGCACCAGGAGAGAGGAGGACTACACTATTCATCAGAGAAGCTAGTGAGGGTGTTGTGTGCGCTGAAGAACTTCGCAGAGATTTTTAAGAAAAAACGAAATATGCTGAAAAAGCCGTTGCATGTAGCTGGTGATACTGCGGTGGATACACTTATACACATGGCGCTCTGAAAGACGCAAAGGTGGGGAACGATGTCAATCATTACAAAGATTTCCTGCAACTTCTATGTACTAGGTATTTCAGGCCAATTTTCACAAACTACTCGGCATCCGTTACTGAAAAGCATAACCCCAAGAAGATCTTCACCAACAAGCCTCTATCAACGAAGTCTTTAAATCTCTAGAACTGCATACGTGAAAAACAGTGCGGACCACAACAGACCGGTCAAAAACATCAAGGCACTGTGCGCTTAAAAAAACAAATTGAAAATGTATATGAAGATTCCCGGTCAGAGTGCTGCCGACGGGTGTGCAGGTTTTCGGTCAGCGGGGACGCGTTCGCGGTCCTGAGAATAAACACTTGACTGTCGCATGTAGTCCACGGGCCGTATGTTTTGCGGCTTTGCTCCAGTAGCAATAAAAACGCTAAATAATCGCTGCTTCAACGTTGTGGAAGTCCGCCAGCCTGTCTGTCTCCTTTTTAATTGGCATAGACTATTTCTGTTGTCGATATGACAAGCACCAGAGAGAGGTCTGGTAGCATTTCAGCAGAGAAACAAAACCAAGACGTGAAAGCTAAAGGATGGGTATAAGACTTCTTTTATATATGAAATCTATACTGACGGTGCCCTGTGCCTGCTATGTAGCATGGGTTACGAATGTATTTAATTCACAAATGGCATCACAGTGGACTAGCAGCGGGCAGCGAAGAAGAGTCGTCTGCATTTTTGTATGGGGTTTTGGCGCCCCTAGTAGCAAATATGTGAAGCAGGCGCAACGACGATGAAGCATGGGGAAGCCAACTGTGATGATGTGACTCAATGTGGAAAAGAAGAAGTGCAAGTCAACCCATGGATCGGCCCAGAGGGAGAAAGGAAGATGACGAAGAAGGGAAGTTTTGGGAGTGCGTGCAGAGAGCGCGTGAAAGGAGACGGGCCGAAGGGAACGTGCAGAGAGAGCGGAACGACACCACCGGCCAGGGCAATCGGCGGCCTCCTACTGTCTGACCAGCAGCCTGTTCCAGCGAGGGCAGCGCATAGAAACCTACGCTGCCCGGCTTCCTACTGCGCGAGCACTGGTTGCGGTGACTCTTGGGGCCGCCGACGGAAGTCAACCGCTCCCGCTCCTGACTTCCAACCACAACCGTGGGCCGACAACAACAGCAGAAGACACACTGCTGCACAGGAATTCAAAGACATGGTGACTGATGCGTTTTCCTTTCTTTCATTTCTTTAACTAAGTTTTCCTTTTTTTTGTATAAGCATATGAACTATTTGATTTTTTTTGTAAATACAAGCTTTTATGAAAAACGAAGGACATTGTATCTTGTCGATTATGAACCCCAAAGAACCTCGCAACAATTAACTGGCGTCCGCGACAGGACAAGATATTCTGTTCCTCCGTTTTTCTACGTAACAATAATTAATCAGAATGGAGGTTAAAGAGTTAATATCTTTGGGAGCTGAGTTGGGACTGGCAGGAGCGGAGTTGAGGTCTTGGGTGGACGAGGAGCGAGCACGCCAACGAGAAGAGAGGGTTGCTGAGAGGGAAGCACAGCGCCTCAAGGCAGAAAGTGAGCAACGCATTATCGAACTAAAGATTCGTCTTGCAGAGGCTAGCGCAACCGAGATAGGACGAGCAGATGGCAGTGAAGGGTCACGTCGCGCATCTATATCGCTATCTCCTAGTCCGCACAAGCTTATGCCTCCCTTCGATGACAAAAGGGACGGTCTCGACTCGTATTTGAGGAGATTTGAGCGTGTAGCTCAGGGGCAAGATTGGCCGCAAGAGAAGTGGGCGACTGCTCTAAGCATGTGCCTGGTTGGCCCAGCTCTAGAGGTCATAGGTAGGATGTCGCCTGAAGACTCTTTGGATTATGATAAAGTGAAGAGGGCTTTGCTCCAACGGTTCCGTTACACGGCAGAGGGGTACCGCGAGAAGTTTAGAGAGAGCAAGCCGTTGGACGGAGAGACAGGGAGCCAGTTTGCTGCGAGACTAGAGGGGTTCTTCGACCGCTGGGTCAGTATGAACGAATGCCCAAAAACGTATGAAGGGGTTCGTGACCAGATCATTGGGGAGCAATTTCTTCGGAATTGTCATCCGAGGCTCGCTGTCTTCTTAAAGGAAAGAAGCTGTAAGACCGTCTCGGCGTTGGCTGAAATGGCGGACCACTTCCTGGAGGCGCAGAGCCAGCCTAATCTGGCCGATTTCAGGAGGGAGGCAAAAGTAGCCTTAGATGCCCTGAAGGAAGATGCGCAGGGCAGCAAACCCGCTCCAAAGAAAAAATGTTTCTTGTGTGGTAAGTTGGGCCACAAGGCAGCAGATTGCCGATCGAAGCCAGAAACACGCGTATTCTGTCAAGTGTGTCAGAGGTCAGGCCACGAGTCCAGATCATGTCCGCAAGAAAAAAACGGAAAGACAGAAGTTTCATGTTTCGTAAAACCCGATGAGTATCCTCTTGGTAAGACGGACGCGTTCTCACGGGGAAGGAAGAAAATCACAAGAAACGCCTTCAGAACGCCCACCATGAATATGACTGAAAAGGCGAGACCAATTCTGTGGGACGTTATGCCAATCACAGATGGGATTTTAAACGGAAAAGCAGTAAAGGTGTTGAGAGACACCGGGAGTAACACCGTGATAGTGCGCCGGGAACTCGTCGCATCTGAAGATTTTACTGGCAAAGTCAGTCCCGTATTTTTAGTGGACGGGACGTGTCTGATGTTGCCAGAGGCAAACATTCGCCTTGCGTCGCCGTTCCTAACGGGACAGGTAACTGTCAAGTGTATGGACCATCCTCTGTATGACGTCATTGTGGGAAATATTCATGGAGCGAAAGACTCGACCGAACAAACCCTGAAGGAGGTGCCTGACGCGGAAAGTGAATACGTCGCTGCCGTCGACGGTAGTATGCCGAGTAGGCTAAACCAACTTAGTAACGGTGGGAGTGCCAGGGAACGGGGGGACCTGCGGCTCTCGCAGGGGGGTGACACCGATGCCAAGGAGCGCTTGAAAAGCAGGTCAACCACTCACGAGCAGTACCTGGAGAAGGATAAGCTGCTGCAGCAGGTCTTCGACATGAAGAAGCCGGTGTACCCCAAGCCCCGCAGAGTGCTCTACCCGAGGCCGCGCCTCAAAAAGAGGGACCCTGAGGCCCAAACGGTGGTTTCGCCACTGGGCCCGACCGATAACTACCCCGTGCCGGAGGTAGATCCTCACGACAGCGTCCCGACCGAGTTCATCAAGGGCTACAGCCTGGCAGGAGCCGACCCTTCCGTCTCGCCCGGAGAGCACACCATAGAGCACGGAAATGGAAAGGCCAAGGGGAAGTGTCAGGATGGACGGCAGGAGTTCATTGAAAGGCAAGTGGACTGGGAACAAATGATCAAGGAAAAAGACTTGCAGCTTGAGGAGCGAAGGCTCAAGCTCGACGAAGAGCGACTGGCCTTCGAGAGGACCAAGTTTGAAGCAGAGATGGTGGTCAAGGTCAGAAGGCTAGACATGGAGGAGAAGGAGCGCCGGATACGCGACGGCACAGACAAGATGCACCTGGAGCTCATGAAGAAGATGTTCGACGAACTGGTCCGGAAGGCACTGTGATCGAGAACTGCCAGGAAATTCTTCGTCGCGTATGAAGTGCTTTGGTACGATGGTGGGCATTATCACCGAGCGTTAAAAGAAGCGTAGTGGATTCAAATGATTCTTCGTTACGATTCATTCATTACGATTGAGAGGAGCGCAAAGTAGAATGAACTGTAATAATTTATCGTTAGAATTTGCTTTAGTAATATACCTCGGGTTATGCATATTTGGGAGCGTATTTGCAAGGCAATTTGAGAACATGTGGAGGCGTTAAAGCAGTTTTTTGAGAGAATGCGACAAGCCGGTATTACAGTAAACCCATGAAGTGCGAAGTCGGTATGAGGACAATAACATTCCTGGGTCATGGTCTGGGTAATAGAGTAGGTTCGTGTGCATTTGTATGGAACGCATTTTGTTGTTCAGACAACCCACCATCCTTTACAATATCGAAACAAGGCGAAACAAATTAACAGCCGAGTGTTACGCTGAGGTCTGATGCCTCAAGAGTGCTCGTTTCGCGTGAAGTACATTTAAAGAAGAAAGAATGTGGGTGCGGGTTATCTCATTAGGCTCCAATGAACTTGCGCACATCATCATGGTCTTGGTTTTTTTTTGTGTATGTAATTTGTTTTGGTACTTAAAAAAAAAAAAAAACTTAAAGGGGGGCTCCTTGTGATGATGTGACTCAATTTGGAAAAGAAGAAGTGCAAGTCAACCCATGGATCGGCCCAGAGGGAGAAAGGAATATGACGAAGAAGGGAAGTTTTGGGAGTGCGTGCAGAGAGCGCGTGAAAGGAGACGGGCCGAAGGGAACGTGCAGAGAGAGCGGAACGACACCATCGGCCAGGGCAATCGGCGGCCTCCTGCTGTCTGACCAGCAGCCTGTTCCAGCGAGGGCAGCGCATAGAAACCTACGCTGCCCGGCTTCCTACTGCGCGAGCACTGGTTGCGGTGACTCTTGGAGCCGCCGACGGAAGCCAACCGCTCCCGCTCCTGACTTCCAACCACAACCGTGGGCCGACAACAACAGCAGAAGACACACTGCTGCACAGGAATTCAAAGACATGGTGACTGATGCGTTTTCCTTTCTTTCATTTCTTTAACTAAGTTTTCCTTTTTTTTGTATAAGCATATGAACTATTTGATTTTTTTTTTGTAAATACAAGCTTTTATGAAAAACGAAGGACATTGTATCTTGTCGATTATGAACCCCAAAGAACCTCGCAACACCAACCATTGGGCAGGCATTATCAGTATAAAGGAGGCTGTGCCATTGGTCGTCCAAAAGAAACTTTAGCTAGGATACCGTCATGGTCACTTATACCTGGAATAGGTAAGACTGACTGGACTAAACTGGTGGAATTGGAAAAAAGCATGTCAAGCGTTGATGCACAGTCACCTGCGCGACGTGTGGGGAAATCTACAAACTGATAAAGACCGTTAGTGGCGATCATAGAACTAAATTCAAGGGAAAGTGCAGAGCGGCAAGTAAGCACGGGTGAATTGTTTATCCACTGTATATCAGGCATATTGAAATCACCGCCCAATAAAAAATTCTTATTTAAACTCAACATTGTATGAGAAAGCGGTTTGAAAGGAGAAAGGTTGCCCCCACTGGGGCTACGATAAAAAGCGCCAAACGAGATATGTTCACCACAGTCTTACAATCATCATTAGTTTCTACAGGTGCGTTTGGGAAGGATATATCAACGAGTAGGGGAAAGCCACCGCCATGGGTGTCCCAGTCACGTCTGTAAACTTGAAATGAGGAAGGGAAAACTTCAGCACCACTGACGCTATCATCCAGCCAGGATTCAGTGCCAATGATAATGTGAGCTTGTACTGAGACGATAAGGCCAGGGAGTGAATCGGCCTTATTTTTACTACTTCGACAGTTGACAAGCAAAACAGTTATCTCTCTAAGCCGAGGGGCGCAGGGTGAATCCGCGGGATGCACAAGTAAGTGCTCCGCCGCCGCTGCTTGTCTCGAATTGCGATATAGTTATCGTCTTGACTGGATGACGGTGTCAGGAGAAGTATCATAGATGTAACAGCAGCCGCCGAGCAACAGCTTGTCATACCGCAGTTTAGGTGGCGACTCTTGTGTTTTGCAAGGCAAGCAGTTTCCCGCGGGCATGACGAATCGGAGCGGAAAAATCCTCCCGCACAGCATACAGAATAGATTTCAGCTTATGCCCCTGGGCAAGAATAGCCTCTTTGTCCTTAAAGGGACAAAATTTCACAACAATGGGGCAGTTTTTGTTGGATTGAAAGCGACCGATTCTGTGAGCTTGTTCAATATTTGGTTTCTCAATCACGATGTCCATAGTTTCAGCAACCACAGAGAGCACGGCGCCTTCTGATTGATCCCATGTTTCCGATTGGTTGTCTGGCAAGCCGAAGAAAAGAAGGTTATTTCTACGCAGTCTCTTTTCAGCATCGTCCGCAGCAGCTTTCAATGCAGTGATATCTTGAGACATATCAATTACATCGTCCGTAGACAGCGGACGGCGCTGTTCGAGGCAAGTTACACTTTCTTCCAGACCCGTCATCTTACATTCAACAGTCTGTTGCCATTGCTGCATGACTTGAAATGCTGTCAGCAGCTGCAATTGCACCTGTTCGATACGCATGCACTACCGACTGAAGCACTGACGAGCACTCGCAAGAATCAGTCTGAGTGCCCAATTCACAAAGCTCATTCGGGCCAGGGTTCTGTTCAATGTCCCCCGCCAAAAGCAAAAGCATACGCCAAAACATAATACGGAAGATGAGAAACAAACATCTACAAAGAACACTGCGCAAGGTTTTGCCAACGTCAATATTAAAGGGGCACGACACCGCAAGAAGGCAACGGTTAGAAGTTCTAAAGTAAGAAGAATTGTTTAAAAAACTAACCTGGGTCGCAAACAATTGTGAGTACATGATCGGCGCGGTGTGTGCCCCGAATTCGGCCGCCGTTGAAGGTCGTTTAAAAACGCCCTCCGTCGAGGTCCCTGGTTGCCAGATGAAGGGAGCAGTTTGGTCCAAACGAAGCGGAGGAACCCTGGCGTGTGGCGGTACTGTCTTCACACGATGACCGGTGTAGATCGATCCCGCGTCAGCAAAAGAATCAGCGCCTTGAGCGAGGAATCCATCGACGATAGCAGCTGGTCCGAGAGTCCAGGCAGCCAATAGCACCTGGGTCACAAACAATAGTAAGCACATGCTCGGAGCGGTGCGTGCCCCACGAGCAATATTTAGAGCAATATTGACGGCGCGAAACGCGATTTAATCTCTAGTCGCCTCCTTTCCACTTGTTTTCTCTCTGGGCATTTCGGGCGCGTGGAGGAGAGGGGGATCAGCTTCGCCTCCACGTTGAGGTGGAAAGAGCGAATGACCGTTCCGTGACGCCATGGACTCTGCGCGGAGAATTTCGAATCAATCTCTCGCCCTCACTATTGCTTTAAAAAGATTATTTTTCGCGTAAAATTTGTTTTTTGACACGCGTGCCCCAACCAGACCGTATATAAAAAATATTTTCTTTTTCAGGAGCCCTGTAAAAAACAATTCCGGTCAATATTTTTCAATTTGAGATTATGAATTTTTCAGCTAAACCTGTGTCCCTAAATTACAAAATATACTTTTTTTTCCTCTCGATAATTTGCGTATTTTTATAAATATCAGGGCTCAAAGTTTGGTTTCGGGCATCTACGGCAAAACCGAAACTATCTGCTAGAGGGTTGGCAACACTCATCATGAGCTGTACGGCCACAACCTGATGTTATAATGTGTGCTTCGCCAAGCGCTACAACCCATCGACCGCAGTTATACCGCGATGTGATGACACAAGGGTGCTGCGCCAGTGTTCTCGATCAAAAGCTAACCCGCTTGGCGCCCGCTAAAGAGCAGCCGGTCGCATCTTTAAAATCTGTTTTATTACCTCGACGTAATATTTCGGTTGTAATCATATTTCGTGCCACTAAAGCGATACCGGTCGTTTATTGTGGCTTCGTTCTCGAGTGGAGTTGACATTTAATTAGATGAGAATGCAGAGTCAACATTCGCCGGAACTCTTAATTAAAAGCCGCCCCAGAAAAATCCAATCAAAATCAGAAAGAAATAGTCAGGAAAAAAATAATAAAATTAAAAAGTAACCCTTATTAAAAAAAAGAAAAAAAAACATCAACAAAAACAACTGATTGTTAAATTGTGAGGATTCTGTGAAACAGACACCTTTTATTTGCTTTTAAGACTCGGGTTGGTCCGTCGTTTTTTACTTTACAGGAATTGATTGCGGCTGTAAAGGCGAACAAACGATGCTTCAAAATGGAGTACATTGTTCTAGATAATTGGCGGACGACTTAACCGAGGCGTTTTAATGGAGTAGACGCTCTCGGATTTTTACACAAAAGAATCTTGCGGCACAGGAAAGAGTAACACACAACGTATACGTCTGTTTCGGCTGTCACGTAAAATTCGCTAAACTTGGTGGCCGAGACATGGCCCTCCCAATTTCGCTGATAGTTTTTAACCCTACGTACAAAATTCATCTACGTATTACATGTACAAGAAATTGGTCAGACCATGACCAAGCCACGGTAATAAAATTAGCTGTTGGGCTAGGTAGTCACACATCACGAAAATGAAAAAAAAAAGAACAACAAAAAAACACGAGAGGCAAGAATAAATGATATAAATTGAAAAGCCCTTTTCATGTTTTGTTCCACCACTTCTCTTTTTTTTCTTCGCTTTTTTTGTTTGTGTTAGGACCAAGACAGGCGGCAATTTTTCTGCCAAAGTGGACCAGCCTGCACACCGGCCGCGAAATATTTTTTAACATCAGCCTTGCCATTTCGTGCGACACTTCAACTAAATAAAGCTAAAATAAGTAATCAACTAGATAACTCCTCTTGACCGTGCAGGGCACTGTTATACACAAATAAATGAGCAAACGCGACAATACGGGGTTATCTTCCAATTTTATTTACGCTCCAACAAACTTCAAATCATCTAAATTGTAGTTTTTTTTATTTCGATCCTTTGTAGTTTTTCTATATTCCTGTACAATAAAAGAATAAATGTTCAATGCTTGTTGTAGCCATGAACATCGGTTGTGTGAAACGGCAAGTTATAAGCGCTTCGTTTTATTTGCGCCATCGCGCGCTGCGGAAAAACAAACAGATTAATTGCAGCAGTCGCACGTTACTAAAGGGGAAATTGTCTGTCGGGCTCATTTCTGCAGATCAGAATTCACAAGCAGCGCCTCCGCTTCTTAAATCTTTCAAGATAGGCACTTCCTACTTGATCACTAGTGGGATACAAGAAAACAGGAATGCTTGCAGCCTTTTCAATGAGTTGTTGCCTCTAGATGCATAGAGTATGATTTAATTTACTTCGCTTTATAAGCTTGCTGTGCTCTGTCGA